ATTCGATGGCATCCTTTGCTGCAGTTTTCGTAGGGATTCCGATCTCAGCAGTATATTTGAAGGTGAGGTTTTCCTCTGTAATGCATTTCTTTTGTATGGCTTCATTAAGTAACCCATACACAAATCTGTCTCTTAGGGCCTCATTAAGTCCATCCTTAAAATTGCAGTGTTCTGGCAATTTCCTTAATTCTTGTCACAAAAGAGGAAATAGATTAATCTTCAAACTTATTTCTTTTATGGAACCTGAACCTTTCTGCAGTAATAAATGGGTTAGGTGCCAGATGCTCTTGAACAGTTTTCACTAATTCCTTAGGTTTTGCTTCCTGGCTTTTCTGGGGCGAGCAGGCTGTGCAGTAAACCATGTGTTTTTTTTCCCATTTACCTAAGTAATGCCGCTACATGTTTCCATGGGGGAATCTCATTTACTTTAAAAAAACCTGCTCTAGCTGCTCTGTATATGTAGGCCAGTCTTCCAGGGTGCTGTCAGAAGTCCCAGTTGTTCCAGTATTAGTACCCATTTTAGGTTCCATCAGATTGCAAGTACTCATAATTAAAGTGATTTTTTTTAGGTTAATTTAATGCATGCCCCACTCATGGAATCTTACTCTTGTTACCAGTTGTTATGTTGGTCTTAGGGCCATCATAAATAAATGATTCCAGCCACAAGCATGGGAAAGAGTGCTGCCAATTTTTATTTTGAACATAAATTAAGTTATACATGCACTGGCAATAGCAGACTCATGAGAAAATAACTTTGCGCCTCTGGCAGACATTCAGTTGAAGGTGCCGTGGGATCTGACGCATGATCCCAACAATCACACTTCCTGCCATGCTATACATGCCTGGCAGAAAGCATAATTGTGGGATTAGGGATTAGATCCCAATCAGGCCAAATTACACTGCAGGAGGAGCCCAGGATCATGATCCCATGCTCCCCCTGCACTGACAAGTAGCAACCCAGTCAGCTGATCCTATCTTCAAGCCTTAGGGGTGCACCCAGGCCCTTGACTCCAGTGTGCCCCCTGAGGCTGGGAGCTCTCATCAGCTGTGGCTCTCCAGTTTATGGCCTCATCACAGCCCATGACTCAAATGTGCCCTCGACACTGGGAGCCATGATCAGCTGCTGCACCCAAGACGCTGGGAGTACAGACCAGGTAATCTGTGCTCCCAGCGTACAGGGTGAAGCAGAAGGTTTTTCTGTACCCTAGTGGCCTGGAACAGCAGCTAATCGGAGCCTGCTGCCTTAGTTGCACATCAGAGCCATTGACTGTGATGGACCCCCAAAGCTGGGAGAAGCAGTTAGCTGATCTGCACTCCCAGCCTTGGGAGCATTGAAGTCAATGTCTCCCTTGCACTACTGAGGCTGGGAGCCATTGATGCCTGATGCCTGGGCACACGTGCAATTTAAGGTGCAACGGGAACCAGTCAAAAAGTTATTACACAAAATGCACAACCAGGCTTATTCCTTGTTTTTATTGTGCCATAATTGCATTAACAGGTAGCCAGGTTACTTAAAATGAGATTAACTATGGCCATGGAGAAAAGCCCATCTCCATCTTGTCTGTAATTGCCCTTCAGATATTTGAAGACTCTTATCAAATCCCACCTAGTCGTCTTTTTTCCAAGCTAAGTAACCTGAATTCTTTCAGCCTGTCCTCATAAATCTTGCCTTCTAGGCCCCTAATCATTTTTGTTACTCTGGGCTGGAGCCTTGCAAATTGTCCACATCTTTCTTGAAATATGGGGCCCAAAACTGGGCACTTTTCTCTTAAGTGTGAACTTAATTCCATTGTCCAAATCATTATTGAAGTTAGTGGGCAGGAACAGGCTAGCCACATAAGGAAATGTACTTCTACTTTAGTCTTTCTGGGGAAGGAGTTTAGATCCTTTGGATTCACATTTCAATTTGCTGATCAATATCACAATTTCTATAGTATCATGTTGTTATAGGTTAGATGCTCAGTGAGGTTTCTAAAATTGCAACTGCATGTCAAGTGCTAGCAATGATTTTTGCATTGAGATATAGGTCTGTAGCTAATAACCCTATTTGCCAAGACATTTTTCTTAAATAAGGAAACAGCTGTACAAGCAAAATCAACAGTCTTGTTATTAGAGGTCTACTTGAAAATGTAAGCCCATAAGAGTGAGGCCATTCAACTCAAAAAGACTGATCCTGATGCTTTAGAACTTTTTATAAACTCACCATTTTGCTTCCATAGTTTTTCAGGTTTTTTCCCCCTCTCATTTTTGTATCATTGTAACATGGTGCAGCATATATTATAGTAGAAAATCACTCTATATATTGTTTGTTGCATAAAATAGTAAAATCTGACTGGGTTACCCATAAGAAAGATTTTTTTTTAATAGTTTTGTCCTTTCTTTTTCCAGTGAAACAGTCAAGCTTGATTAAAAAAAGGAAAACAGTATGTAAAATACAAAAAGATATAAAGTCCTAATTCAGAGAAAAAAATCGAGGTATATATGTTTAATTTTAGGCACAGAAACAAATCCTATTCACTTCAGTGGAGCTTGAGAATAAGCCTACTTAAGCCTTATCTAAGCAGCTGGACAAAGAGTTTCTATGCACTTTCTCTGTGAAAATTAGTGTTTGCAGGAATAATATCAGCCTGAATTACTGTGTTTGCAGACTGTAGGACACGGGGACAATTCAGGACTCTTTCGCACCAGTTTCGGCGCAAACGATCTGCTAAATACATTTATTCCAAGCAGAAGAACAAAGCAGATGCCCTGAGCGATACTAATAGCAGGTATGTAGATGTGAATCAGCAATATTAAGGGACACAGAATAAGACATGTTTGCACATAAAAGATTTTGGGTACACTTTAGACTTTAGAAGCTCTACATTTGTTAAACTTTTATATACAGAAAATGTACACAATATGAAATTTCAAATGTGTTTGTTTTTTTAATACAAGAACACCATTTATGATCTGTCTGTTATAACTTGAGGTGTATTCTATTAGAACAGGGATGATGATTCTCTGTTATAATACTATTCTTGTCTCCTTATTTTAATTTCTAACTAAATTTGAGCTTTACATGTAACCTTTACAGTGCATTTGATTCGCTTAGTAGAACATGGTAAGGTGACTATAAACAGTGTGCTGTTTACAGCTGAAACCTGCTCTAGTTATATAAATTACTTGTAATATTACAACATCTTTAAAATGATGAAAAACACTATAATAGCTATTTGGAGGTACTATATTCTTATTAAGCATCTAAGAGAGCTTTAGTGAGAGATTAAATCTGAAAAGAAAAATACTTGTTTTTCTTGGTGTCAACAGTTTATATAATCATTCCTAATGATGAAAATGCAGATTGTAGATTACAAGAAAATATTTAGAAATATGATACATCAAACTCAAATGAAATAAGAACCAGATGGAGAAATGTGATACCAACATTTTATTTTGAAAGGCAGTAGAAGTAGCCAGTTTAAAAGATAATGTTGATGATTTCTGTAGTTTTTCAGTAATTAGTACTGGTGTTTTATGAGCTACTTGGCAGTACTCTTTCATGGCAGACAGCTAAACATAGATATATCAAACATAAAGAACCTTATTCTAATGAATTTTTGGTACTGTTGTATGAGGTAGGGTATGTGTGTATCCCATAGAAGGTTAATTCTTCAAGCCGGATTATCTACGTCTTGAGCACCTATGTCTATAAGTAGTGCATAGTAGATAAAAATAACATTAAGATCAGAATTCTCCACTTGGTGCAGAAGCAACTTTGATAGTATCATATGATTTGTACAAATGTATTGTACATGTTTCTTCAGGTATGTTTTGTAGAGATCTGGAATGCAGGTGTCACTTGTAGTTTATAAATCTAAGTGGCTCTGATTTTAGAGCATAGTAACATTGTGAAGTTAGATAATCACAATTACTATCTCACAGTCTTGGACAAGAAAGAAAATACAGCAAATTTGAATTTTTTCAATCCCTGCCATGGTAAAGGGAACATTGACAAATATGGGTCTGATTCTCTTCTGACTTTTTATATCTTTTTTACATGATGGAAAGTTAAACTACTCTTGATTTGCACTGAATTGAGCTAAAGAAGAACTAGGGATTATATGCCTTATGATTTTAATCATTTTTCTAGGTTTCTATAAAATAAAGATAAGCTTGTAGAATATTTTTCCCTTGTGTGGCACATCTGAAACTGGATGCCTTTAAGTCAGCAGGCCCGGATGAGCTCCATCCGAGGGTGCTGAAGGCACTGGCCAACATCATTGCAGAGGCACTGGCGGGAATATTTGAAAGCTCGTGGCGCACAGGCCAAGTCCCGGAGGACTGGAAAAGGGCCAACGTGGTCCCCATTTTCAAAAAGGGGAGGAAGGAGGATCCAGGCAACTATAGGCCAGTCAGTCTCACCTCCGTCCTTGGCAAAGTCTTTGAAAAAATTATCAAGGCTCACATTTGTGAGAGCCCGGCAGGACAAATTATGATGAGGGGAAACCAGCACGGGTTCGTAGCAGGCAGATCGTGCCTGACCAATCTAGATTCTTTTTATGACCAGGTTACGAAACGCCTGGACACAGGATGAGGGGTGGATGTCGTATACTTAGACTTCAGGAAGGCCTTCGATACGGTATCCCACCCCATACTGGTGAACAAGTTAAGAGGCTGTGACTTGGATGACTACACAGTCCGGTGGGTGGCGAATTGGCTGGAGGGTCGCACCCAGAGAGTCGTGGTGGATGGGTCGGTTTCGACCTGGAAGGGTGTGGGCAGTGGGGTCCCGCAGGGTTCGGTCCTTGGACCGATACTCTTTAATGTCTACATCAGTGACTTGGACAAGGGAGTGAAATGTACTCTGTCCAAGTTTGCAGATGACACAAAGCTATGGGGAGATGTGGACACGCCGGAGGGCAGGGAACAGCTGCAAGCAGATCTGGACAGGTTGGACAAGTGGGCAGAAAACAACAGAATGCAGTTCAACAAGGAGAAATGCAAAGTGCTGAACCTAGGGAGGAAAAATGTCCA